CTCTCTCTCGCTCTCTCTTTTTCTCTCTTTGTTCACTTATACTTTTTATCTTTCCGTACATTGTAGGGAATTGTTAAGGATCTTCTAGGTTCTTATCTCGGATTCAACGAAAATCCGTAAAAATACGAAACGATGTTTTAATTAAATCGATTTTCATATATAAACGGATATTCTTCTAGTCGGATTTCGTCTATTTAGATCCAGCAAACCTTTATAAACTATTTCATACTAGAGTAAGCAAATCGATTCTTGGAAAATGCAATGGCCTGACAACTTTTTACGTCGATGCGCCGAGAGAGTCGCGTGCGGTTGAGACAATTTTTTTGCCGCATGTACAAGTAATGGAAAATTTAAACTTTTAATTTCTTTATCACGTTCGTTGCACGCGTTACCTAATATTTCTCGTATTTCGTAATAATGAACGTTTTGGTTGAATCCTACAGAATATTTAAGCGAGAAGGAAGTAATAATAACACGTGAGTGCCAAGCGAATCCCGGATCTTCGGCGAAAATTGAGTAATCGAATGGTCTTATGCGGCGTTTTCACTTTTATTTAATGTTTACATAAGGTCAATGCACGTAAATTGTTACAAACAACTTTCTCATTGGCTGCGGTGCCCGTCGCATTCTCGTCTGCATCGATCGGTTTTCGAAAAGTTTCTCCAAAAATCCCTTTTATCGTCCGCGACGATAAGACTTTTGCTCTCATCTCCTTCTCTTTCTCGGAACGTCAACGGTGAGATCCGGTTGTGCCTTATGCAATCGAGCTTTCTACGTGATCGACTGCATGCATGCGTGATTCCGAACCAGTCCTCGGTCAGGAAACGGGAGATCGGTTTCGAATCTTTGCTCTCGTTGTTTTCGATGCATCGCGAAAGTATTCGTATTACGTGGTGCCGCGCTGAATCTTTCTCTTTCAAGCCACCGATGTGCCCTCGGCACTCTACAGTGGTTATCATTAAGATTATCATGACTATTTGGCACGTTGGCTCGGGATTGTAATTTTTACTTCTTGATCAAATTACATACATGGATTCTAGATAACTTAGATAACGAAATAAATTTAAACGTTTAACGTTAAGATGCATTTTACGAGAAATAAAAAAAAAAACGTTTTCCTTTTAGGATTTTTAGAGAAAAAATAAATCATGGTTTTTTTTTTTTTTTTTCTTAGAAAAAAGGCTTTTTCCAATATCACATATATGATATATACTTATTGTGGTATTGCAGAATAGTTAAAGTGCAGAATAGTTAAAAACTTGCGATATATGGCGGTTGCAACTTCGGATAACTACGAATAGTCAAGGAAACAACGACTACTATACATCAAGCAAGATCTATGACATTTCGAAGATAAGTAGCGCTCGAGGGAATGATATTTCACTATTTCACACGCGTATTTATAGATCGATTACAAGGTCGACAACTCTACTGGAAAATAAATTATTTATTTGATAATAAAAATCACAAAATTAATTTAGTTCTCAGTAATCACCAGTGTTGAACATGTAAAAGAATCTTGTTTATCCGCTAGGTTTGCTCATATGAAAATTGTCAAAAGTCACTTTGTGATTTTTACGATTAGCACACTCAAGAAACTTGGCCTAGATTCGATATAATTAATTCTTTAGACATAAAATTAAAAATATTATAATTATCCATAGCAGACTAAGTCGATGCGAATGAAAGAGAATGTTTAGCAAATCGGTCACATGTTAGCAGAAGTGTTACGCGCTAACGATGCGGAACGCACGTGGAATATGCCAGCCTTCACACACGGAAGTGAAAGTCAATATATCGCAGGATATAAGCTTCGCTCCCCTCCTCTCCCTCTTATTGATTCTTCCAACTGTACCTTCGGTAAGATTTTCTTTTGACCGACGTCTTGATCAAAGACTATATATCTATAGTCGATAAAGGAATTTTCATTCTATTTTTCCTGTTCATCGATGCTGAAGAATTTTCCAAATTGGCGCTGTCAATGTTTTAAATATGTTTTAAAATATTATTCAAAAACACGGCTAAAATTTACTTTTCTAATTTTCGATTTTTTTATTTAAAAGATATATTTTCAATTTTAAATACTCATAATAATAATATTCATAAATGGTTAACTTTTACATGTTCCAAATAAAATTTGACAATTTTAAAAAATAATGTTTGAATTATTGTTTTGATTCTTTAATAAAGCAAATTTATAATTATTTCACAAATTTGTGAAATTATTAAAATATTAATTTTATTATACGTATTTTTTTTTTATTAAATATTATAATCTATTTTATTATCAAACATAGTTTTTATATAATAATGTGTTACGGTAATAATGATAATACATGTCTTTGAAAGATATTCTATAATTAGAATTTCAATAGTTTACTTCTACTCCTTTTACGAGACCGGTGATAACGTCAGGATGGCCGAGCGGTCTAAGGCGCTGCGT